TCCCTCGAAATATAGTATCCATCGCGGCGCGCGATACGTCCCTCGAAATATAATATCCGTCGCGGCGCGCGACACGTCCCTCGAAATATAGTATCCATCGCGGCGCGCGATACGTCCCTCGAAATATAATATCCGTCGCGGCGCGCGACACGTCCCTCGAAATATAGTATCCATCGCGGCGCGCGATACGTCCCTCGAAATATAATATCCGTCGCGGCGCGCGACACGTCCCTCGAAATATAGTATCCATCGCGGCGCGCGATACGTCCCTCGAAATATAATATCCGTCGCGGCGCGCGACACGTCCCTCGAAATATAGTATCCATCGCGGCGCGCGATACGTCCCTCGAAATATAATATCCGTCGCGGCGCGCGACACGTCCCTCGAAATATAGTATCCATCGCGGCGCGCGATACGTCCCTCGAAATATAATATCCGTCGCGGCGCGCGACACGTCCCTCGAAATATAGTATCCATCGCGGCGCGCGATACGTCCCTCGAAATAGTACATCCTCTTTAGTTTCTCATTCTTTCTCAATGCACATAACACTTGTCACAACCACGTCTCAGAATAATGCAAATGACATGTTCACACAAATAATGAGGAGATGACCATTTTCATAACATTGCACAAATCACAACAACGCAATCATGATACAACTTCAATAATGATTCAACAAGTCTTTCAATCAATTCTCAACACATCACACAACAATTGATCACATTACTCCCAAACATATACCACAAGGAAATACACGAATTCCATACGCTTAACAAGGGTTTAGAAATTCACTTGCCTCAAATAACTGAACAATCACTCCGAGACTTGAGCCTTCCCTTTTCGTTGAGCTTCCAAGTCAATGAAATCTATTCAAGTACATAGTAACAATAAGATTTCGAAACTAACAACACTCATGTCACTATAGGTTTAGCCTAGACCCAAAAGTTCACCCAAACCTAAAATCAAGTTCTTATATCTGGGTGCCAATTAACATGTCAACTCTCATGTTTCTCAAATTCAAGCCTAAGATTAAGACTACAACTTTAATTTCTTTCATATAATATAATCCACTCGATATTTAATGACATATCTCAACATATCAAAACTTGGAATTATAATGTGATGACAAAAACATTTTTTTATTTTATTTTTAAGAAAAAGAACTGAACCAAAGTATTGACCGAAAACAATTTGTAGAGTCAAATTTGCCATTACACTCATCATTATCACATAAACCTCATAACTACCCTATCGTAAGGCTATTAGTGGCCAATCACGTGTCATAGTTCTCCACTAACATCTTTATATAAAAAGAAAGCACCATTGACAATTAATCTAAAACAATTCCAGCTTTCCAGATTGTTACTCTAACCCACTGCATATACCAATTTTCATTCACCTTATCCTTCCATTTATGACAAATATTTTGTCTTTTCTCTTTTTCAATGTTTAGCAATACACATCAACTTATCTATAATCAAATCACCCAACCAATATATTAAAAATTGATTCATAATACGATAATACAAATACACTTACAATCGGTACCACACAACTTAATCAACTTACATTGACACACTGTATACGCCATTCTTAATTCCTAATCATTAAATTAAAACAAAGAAAAGAATCATTGCCCAATCATCACTCCATTAATACCAATCCATAATTGGTAAAGAATTAAGAGTAAAATAAAATAATACACTGCACCTATCTTACCTACAAACTTATGAAGCAATCATCCTTTTCCTACATAATATAATATTATTTCCACACATATACATATGTAGAAATTAATGAAGAGCATGCAGAGCACTTGACGCAGTACCTGAAGCAGATCGAAACTCACGATGCCGAAACCCTACGCCCTTTTCTTCTTTTCCTTTTTCAGTTATGACTCAAATATTAAACCCCAAATAATTTAATTCATTTTAACCCATGGTCAAGTGGTATAGAGTCTTTAATAAATGATCACTTTAACCCACTAACTATCGATTAATTAACTTAAGTTAAACGAATAGTTCAAAATTTCCAAAAATGACCTTCCGGGTCATCACAGATATGCAAAAAAAATACTATTTATAGTATTTTTCATATAGTTTTTGAATATCTTAATTTTTTAGTTTAAAATATCGAATTAATAATAATTTAATTTAACTTTAAAAATTAATCAAATTGACTTTCGAAAAGCGCAACACAACAACTAAAACAGGACGGCTTCTTCTCTTCTTCTTTTATTATAAACACTTAACTAATGAAAAAAGAGGCACGTATTTAGTTTGTTAGGTAGATAAAAGATTAATATATATATATATATAAATAAAAGAGGAAGTAAAGGAGTATAATAATTTGAGAAAATCAAATAAGGTAATGTAAAAATTCGGTGCAAATCAATAATGTTAATTAAAAAGCCTTGAACCGATTCGATTCATTTAATTATATTTCATTAGATACTTTGTATTTCCAAATTTTAAAGAGAACTACAAAAATAACTCTATATTCCGACATTTAAAACTAACATAAGCGTTATTAGAATGGGCCTATCTAACATGCATTCGAATTAGTCGTGCTCAAATACAGATACTAAACAAGGGATAAAATATACAATGGAGTAATTAAACTATAATTATATATTAAGTAATTAAATCAAATCATGTAATTTAATTAATTATACTACCAATATATTAACTTCAATGATACGAAGTAACATAATGTATCTTTAAAGTTTCGCAAAATTCAATCAGGTTTTGAGGTTGATTCTTGAAATTTAGGAATTATTTTCAAGTGATTTGAGTACATTGAAGTACCTAAGTCAAAACCTTTCCAAAAACACTCAATAAAGTCTAATATAAAGTTTTTGTTTTATTTCTATCGTGACCTGTATTCTACCTCTTTGTGTTCCCATGATGATTAACTAAGATACAAAAAAATTCATAGATATTGTATTTAATCATATAAATTTTTCAATATTGAGCTACATTAATCCGTTTGAATTTTTTTGCCCTCTATTCCCACCTAAACTAAAAGAAAGAACAACATTAATTGCTTTATTTGGTAATGAAAGTGGGTCACATTTTTCTCTAGATCACTAAACTCTTTAACATTACAATAATCTATCATTTGTATTCATATGATATATATCTATTACTGTTTTAAATTTCTCTAAATTTCTAAACTATTTAAGCACTTAGGTAATTAAAGGTTAGTTCATCAATCAGAATCCACAAAAATTATTACTCCCTTCGTTTCATATTAGTTGATCATCTTACTAAAAATAGTTAGTCCACATTAGTTGTCCACCTTACTAAATCAAGAAAGCAATAATTAAATTCTTCCTATATTATCCTTGCAATTAATTCCTTTTAAAAGTGTTCACATTTCTTTGTAAAATTCCCAAAAAGTTTTCAAAGGGTGAATTAATAAAATTATCTAGTTAATAAAAAAAACAAAAAAAAAACAGTGTACACTGATTTTTGTAACTAAAAAATCGTGCGAAGTTGAGGGATGCACATATTTTTTTCAAAGATTGTGTATGCATGTAATGTAAAAGCTTGGAAGAAAAAGAAGACTTTGTAGCTCTTTGAATTATTGCATCACAAGATGTAAAGAAAATAGTATGGTTGTCTTAATTGTTTATACATTTTTGCTTAGCTTGCAGCCTCTATCCAATAAAATAAAGGCAAATTTATCCAACAACATGACAAAACCAATTATCAAAATGCATAAAAACTCTTAACATTTTACCTACATTTAAGTAAATCTTGGTAAGGGTAATTGTCGAAATGAAAGCTATATAAAGGGGTTTGAGTGAAGCTTAAGAGCACAACAACTTCTCTTCTTTGTTTCAAATATGGGGAAAATGGCCTCTCTAGTTGCTACTCTTTTAGTGGTTTTAGTGTCACTTATCTTAGTTTCCGAAAGCTCAGCAAATTATCAATACTCATCTCCCCCACCACCAAAGAAACCATACCACCCTTCACCAACACCTTATCATCCCGCACCAGTTTACAAATCACCCCCACCGCCAACTCCAGTTTACAAGTCACCACCACCACCCGAGGAGCCATACTATCCTCCACACACCCCAGGCCACCTCCCCCTACTCCAGTTTACAAGTCACCACCACCACCGGTGAAGCCATACCATCCTCCACACACCCCAGTTTACAAGTCTCCACCTCCCCCGACTCCGGTTTACAAGTCACCACCACCACTGGTGAAGCCATACCATCCTGCACCAGTATACAAGTCCCCACCACCACCAACTCCAGTTTACAAGTCACCACCACCACCTAAGGAGCCATACTACCCTCCACACACTCCAGTTTACAAGTCGCCACCTCCCCCTACTCCAGTTTACAAGTCACCACCACCACCTAAGGAGCCATACTACCCTCCACACACTCCAGTTTACAAGTCGCCACCTCCCCCTACTCCAGTTTACAAGTCACCACCACCACCTAAGGAGCCATACTACCCTCCACACACTCCAGTTTACAAGTCGCCACCTCCCCCTACTCCAGTTTACAAGTCACCACCACCACCTAAGGAGCCATACTAGTGAAGTCATACCATCCTACACCAGTATACAAGTCTCCACCACCCCCAACTCCCGTTTACAAGTCTCCACCACCCCACTATATTTACTCCTCTCCCCCTCCTCCCCACCATTACTAAGAAGTGACTTCATTATCTATGAGGTAATTAATATAAACTTAAACTTTCAAAAACATATGACTAAAATGCAATGTAATAATAAGTTACACAATTTCTTCAT